TATTGCGTATGACCATCTAATATTTGTACTTGTTATTATACCTAAAATATAAAATATTTTGTAGTATATGTTCATTTTCTCAGATCCACGTACTCAAACTTGTACAACGGATACAACATATATTACTATATTTATATACTTATATCTTCGCACAGTCCCCACTATTATGAACATGAAACTGAATACATACACATACATACATTGCATATACGCTCTTGTTAATTATATGGACGTTAATGCTATATCAATATTGCAATAAGCCGCTCAGAAATCAAAACATATGTGATGTACTTGGAGCGAATTGCATACTAGAGAAAAATAAATTAAATGTAGTGTAAAAAAAAATTGGGATGAGGTGAAAAAGGAGAAGTGACATTAAATTGTCCCAACTCTAGATTTTTCACTTGTGAAAAAATCTGATACAAAGCCATCCGGTAAGCCTTTTCTTAAATTTATAACTCTTACAAATAATGATATATTTATTAATAAAATTAAAAGTAATGATTATAATAAAAATGATTATATTTAATTTTAAATTGTATTGCTTGTGCTGTTATACTCGTTGGAATTTTAATGAGATTTTTGTTATCAAATTTAACTTTATTAGTATTTTCAGGAAAAATCTTACAAATAAGATTGATCTTAATTTTCTGACTAAGTTGGTAGAAGGTGACTATCTTTAACATTTTGAACTATCAGAAAAGGAAGTTGTACACAATTTGTGCACAAATATCGATCACAGACAATTGGTGTAATGACACATGCCTATGAGCACAGACAAGAGTTGTCTATACACGTATAACTCTTGTTTGTGTCCACATACATTAATTTTCCTGTCAAGAATGTACTGAGAGCCGTCTGACACTGATATTGGCATGCAAATCAATCTTTATGTGTGTAGTGCCTGTGTGCACAAACGATAGATGTTTGCGCACAGATAATTATTTTATGTGACCAAAATGTGAATTTTTCAGATATATTTCACCATACAGGCAATAGTTGTGGGGCTCGCGGACAAAAGTTGTGTGTGTGATTATTTTTAATTGTTTGTGCTCACATAGATTTCATTACATAGACAATAGTTATGTTGTTCACAGACAATAGTTGTTTGTGTGATTAATTGTAATTGTCTGGGTAAATAAAATATTAACGATTTATATATGTGCAAATGCATGATGTATTTGTATGTGTGCTCATGTTACATGTAATTTTAAAAAAAAAAATAACAAAAATGATTTTGTGCAAAAAATGAAAAAAAAAATGGATACAAATAAATAGAGAAGAAGAGGATGAAGAAGGGAAGAGGAGGATTAAGAAGAGAAGATGATGATACAATCTTCTTTTGGATATCCGAATGGGCTAGGTAGAAAGGGGAGACGGAAGAGAGAAGGGGGAGAGAAGGAAGATAGAACGAAGAGGCATGAAAATGGGAAAATGAGTGTTAAATTTTTAGACTTATATGGTATGTACAAGTTGTGTACAACTTGTGTACAGATGCTATTTTCCTTGAAATAATGACAGCCATGTTACTCATAGCTTTTGATTAGACAAAAATATGAGTGCTTTTTAATTTGGACAAAAAAGAGACAAAATAAGCAAATCCTCTAAAATACCCTTAATTAAAGACTCTCTCGTCTATCTTTCTAAGATTGACCGATCTTCTCCCATCACGCATTTGAGATAACTGACATTGCTTGTTCACAAATTCCTTTCTTGCACGGAGGAGTTTCTGTAGAAGGGCAAACTCCTACGGTATTGGTGAAAAACATATCAAAACATATCACTCTTCCTGTTTCATTCCGGGTAATCGTAGGAATATGTGAAGTCAAATTTTATCGCTTCTATCGTACTTTACAATGCCCACAAGAAGACAGACAAAACATTCTGACCAAGCGAAGCTGACGTGGGGCAAGGACAACAGTGTTCTTCCCCACATCGAGGGAGCACTGAAGCAACAATGCTCGAGAAAGAACCACAATAGAATATCACAAACACAACAAACAAAGAATAATCAAATCAGAGCATACCCATACCAAGACTCGAAAGTAGCCAACCAAAGATCTCACAAGACTAGGCAAAAATTTAGGGGTGGACTCGGGCCGGGCCGGTGAACCGGTTGGTTGGCCGGTTCGGGCCACCCGGCCCGGTGGGATCTCAGTTCGGGCTCGGGCCCTTCAAAAGGTGAACCGGCCCGGCCGGTTCGGGCCCAGGCCGGGCCAATTTTTTTTTTTTTTTTTGATTTTTTTTAAGTTTTTGGGTTGGGCTGGGTATTTTGGGCCATTTGAGGTGGTTAGGGTTGGTTTGGGGGTGAGGGGGAGGGTTGGGGGTTAACTAGGAAAAGCCCAAAAAAAATATATAACCGAGGCCCGGCCCGGCCCGGCCCGGACCCGGGGGTTACCCGGGCCGGTTCCGAGCCTCCCATACCTTGAACCGAGGCCCGGCCGGTTCAAGGCCCGAACCGGGCCCGGCCCAAACCGAGTCCATCCCTAGGCAAAATGATGAACTGCAACACTGGCGGAACATAAAAGGGAGTAGGGTGTAATGTCCAACGGCAGAAGAGCTAGCACCCAAACCCAAACCTCCCTAGTCTTGCAAGAAAATTGTGGCACTCCTGAAGGGGCAAAGCGGCATAAGGGTTTTCGTCCCATTCTTTAGAGTAATCAACTTTAATGAGTGATTTTGTAACTCAAAAGGTAAAAAACAAAAATAAATTATTTACTAGTTTTATTATATTAAATCATATTAATATTTACAGAGTAACTATTAATCCAACCAATATTTTCATTTATATTTACGGGGCAACCCAATGCACATTGGCATCTCCACAAGGGGAGGTCCATGGAAGCTTGGAAGGATCCCACCACAAGCGTGTATTAGCGTCCCCTTATCATTTTGACAAGAGGTCGCTTCTTCTAGAACTTGAACACATGACCTTCCAGTCACACGGCAACACCGCAACGGGTGCGACAAGGCTTCTTCGCTTTCACTTATACTGAGTAACTAAATAACTAATTGTTATAAACAAAAGAATAATTTCATTATCAAAGTGAACCAATATCATTGCATGGTAACATACGATACAACTACTCTTGTAGTAGTTGGTATATTTTATTTGCACCAACTATTGCACGTCCAGTAGTCCTACATGCTAGAAGAGCTATTGGTAGAGTTAAAGAAATCACAAAACTTTAGAAAGTAGTTCAACCATTGACCTACTCAACCCCATGGGCTTAAAGTGTAACCTGCCAAATTACATCACACTAGTAGTTTAAAGAAAAAGCAGAATGTTAATAATTATTTACTAAACGACGTACATAAAACGGTTCGAGTAAAATAACTATAGGAAGAAACTACTTTGTTATTTTAATAATCAAGAGCTACTCTTGCTTACATGTAAATATATCAAAGAATTCAGTGTTTCTAACCATGAGCCTACATAAGTTCAAGCAACAAAATTAAAGCTAATTTTTTATTAAAATAATACGTTATAATTAGCAACTTTGTATACACACACATGCACCCAAAAACCTTTGTGCCCCACAGTTTTCAAGAGAAATGCGTACACATTATTTATTTGCAATATTGATCTGTAGTGAATTGGAGGAAACACTTGATAACTATATAAAAGGTATAAGCTTTAGTATTGTACCTTGTACAAGATACCAGCCTACAACATCATATCCTTTAAGTTCTATACCTTGTATTACCTACAAACTTACAGTAAGGGCTGGACCTGCAGAGTATCAATGTGGCAGATGCAGCCGAGGAAGTAGCCGAGTATCTAGGATTGGACCTGTTTACTTCGTGGGTAGCAGCGGCACAAACAGAAGCTGCCACAATCACCTGCTCCTCTTCCTTATGCCGCCATTACCAGTATCATGACCCTGTTCAATTCCCTGATTTTCCTTATACCATGAAACTACCAAAGACCCCCATTGAAGAATTTGCATCAATTATTCGAGCTTGAACAAAGCATGCTCAAATGGACCCCTATTGAGTTTGGGGATCAGCCTTTCTGTTGTTGAAACCGCTAGCTCTGAACTTCTATGTTTCCGTATGGCAATGCAATATATTACCATGACAATACAACATCGACCACTAAGTACTAATCAATCCACTGTCCACATCACGTATTCAAATATTCAATCCATCGATGCACATTCCCATTAAATATATTTAAGTTTCAGCTTTCACGTAAAGATCGAATTGATTATGAGTTTACAACCATACAATCACCATATTTGATGAAATAAATTGTCATCGTGTATGAAGATTGATGATATATGAAGATCCAGTATCCAACATCCTAAGCACAGGCAATAGTTCCAAATGAGCCATACTTTTAAAGGGAAAATGTAAACGGATACTTCTAACAGTTAGGATGGGCTGATTATAATTCCATATAATTATATTGAACGGAAGCATCAGTTAACCTTAATTACTTCAATAGTAGTTATGGAGTAATATACTAAGTAGTACTCCGTAGTATTTAGATAAAAAGTTAGGGAACCGTTCAAATCAGACCCATCCCACCCCACCCCAAAAAAAGTTCACCCTCAAACAACTTAAGATCCTTAGATCCCTTTGGTATACCTGTGAGTTTGGAGCAGTGCAGTGAAAAACCAACTGCAGTGGTGTGTTTAGTAACTGCAATCAATTGTGAGATAAAATGCAATTGCAAATTTGAAATTTGCATGATAAATTAACTGTGACGTACATCAGACGATCTAAAAATATTTATAAAGAAAATGTTCATTTTAAAGATGTAATAAAGTAATTAAAAAATGTTGAATTAATGTATAAATAAAAGGTTATAATTAAGAAACAATTTTTATAAAATAAACCAAGTTCATACACTCATCTGATCGGAACTAGGTATCAAACTCAGAACTGCAGTAATTCATGTATATGACACCTGGCTGCGGTGCGGCAAGAATTTCACACTCATGTTTAATTAACACAACAAAAGTTAAAACGAAAGGGAACGAAGTAGTTTGAGACAAGATACTAATATTAGATATTGTCACACATTGAAGAAGATGCACACAAGTACAGAACAAAGCATGATGACTTGTTCAGAGCCTACAGAACATGTTTTGAAAACATTCCAGGCACTACAATTTATTCCACAAAATTCTACTCCGTATATGATAAGTAAACAAAGTATAAAAAATAGTAGAAAACGAATTCTACATGCACAAATACATGAGCAGCATTTAAAATTCTGTCCAAGAATCAAAGAAAGACTTACTGCTTGGAGCCTTTGCTCAACAAATGTGTCTTAAGAACATCCATGACAGAACCAAAATCAGCCTTGACATTCACAGGCGGGTTTGCATAACGGCAAGCCATGTCCTTTATGGCCTGCGAGTGATAATCAATCTTGGATTGAGTAAACTTCAGGCCATGAGCTGTATTAACCACCACTGTCCTATCAGTGGGCCCAATAACCCCGCTCTTCCTCAACTTGATCAATGCAGTCAACGCCACACCAGTGTGAGGGCATATGAACATCCCCGTTGAGTCTGCCTGAGCTGTGGCATCCATCAGTTCCTCCTCCGTCGCCTCTTCCACAATGCCATTACAACTTTTTAGCGCGAAAACCGCCCTATCAATAGATACAGGGTCACCAATCTGAATGGCAGATGCAAAAGTCGAACCTGCCGTAACAGCTTTGAAGTCCTTCCAACCTGATTTGTAATAGAGGTAGAGAGGATTGGCATTAGCTGCTTGAGCACAAACAAGCCTAGGAATTCTATCCACAAGCCCTAATTCTTTGCACATGTGAAACCCCTTGTAAAATGCATAGATATTCCCGAGGTTTCCGCCCGGAATTATCACCCAATCTGGAACCTCCCAGTCAAATTGCTGCAGAATTTCAATGGCGGCCGTCTTTTGACCCTCTAATCTCAGACTGTTCAGAGAATTGGCCAAGTAAATGGGCAATTCTGAAGTGACTTCGCGAATCAACTGCATACAACCATCGAAATCGGTGTCTATGCTCAACACGAATGCCCCGTTTGTGATGGGCTGAACCAATTGGGCCACGGATATCCGATTCGCGGGCAGGAAGACGATTGATGGGATACCCGCGGACGCACAGTAAGCAGATAGGGCAGCGGAGGTGTCCCCTGTTGAAGCACACCCCACCCCTACCACCGGTTTCTTCATCTTCCTCAGCCGGTTAACCTGACTCACCAAAACCGTCATGCCCAGATCTTTGAAGCTTCCAGTATGGCTAATGCCGCAGTGTTTGACCCACAAATCATTCATCCCCAAAAACAATTTCCCGTAACGCTCTGCCCAGAAAAGGTTGGAATTCCCCTCGAAAGCGCTCACTATATCATCGCCGTCGATTTCGGGCAGGACCCACTCCTTCTTAGACCAGACGCCGGAGCCGTACGGCCACGTCGTCTTTCCGACGCGAGAATCGAAAAGCGAGCGCCAGTATTGCCCGTCGAACTTCTTCAGAGCATCCATATCGTGCTGTACATCGAGTAATCCGCCGGAACGGCTGCGGTAGACGATTTCGTCGAGGGAATAAGACTCATTGGAGTCCGGGTCGGCGTTGAAGGGCACGTAGCGGGCGGAAAAGCCGTGGGATGAGCAGTTCCGTTTCGCCTCTTCGCGGATGTCGGCGGGGCGCCGGGTTTTCTGGGCTTGGATGGCAGAGAGTTCGTCGGAACTAGCAGCAGCTTTTATGGGAGTGAAGAAACGTGCGGCGGAGGGTTTGTGAGGTTTTGGTTGGGGATGGGGGTGAGGGGCTAGGAAGGACGACCTTAACAAAGCAGCTGCCATTGATCACCACCACCTGAGAAGGCTGAGACGGCGAACGTTAAAGAAGAGCGGCGTGGGGGAAATCTTACTGCATGAAGAAAATAGACAAAATTTTGACGGCAGGAATTTAGTTAATACGGAGTAATAATGACAAACTAAGGACAAATTATTTTGGGAACTGGTGGACCCAACTTAAAAAAGTTCTCCGTACATTAAATATAAATTACTCCCTCCCTTCCCATTTTATCTTCCATTCCTCATGGACACACAATTTAAGAAAAGTAGGTATTGTGTGGTATAGAGTTATACAGAGGAGAGAGAAATGTGTAAGAAATGTTGTGAACCACAAATTATCGGTAGGCAATTTTGTTTAGGGTTTACTTTTCATCGATTTTGATTGGATTTCGATCTATTCGTTTTCGGAGATATTGTAGTAATTGTACTAAATTCAAATCATTTGTGTTCTAGTTTGATTTCGGTTTGGTCTTGGTTCAGTTTGGTTTCAAGTTCGGTTTACCAAAGTAAAAAAAAATTAGGTTCAATTTAGTCCGATTTGATTCGATTTCATATGTTTATTAGTTACTACTTACTACCATCGTTCCATTCAAAAGTTCTCGTTGACTATTCACCGATCAATGTAAAATCTTCTTAATCTTTTACTTTATATATCAATCTTTTATCAAATGCGAGTTTTTTTTGCGATTATATAAAACTTTTAATGTAGTTTCTGAATATATATAAATCTTATTTACTAAAATTAATTCAATTACGGACAAGAATTAATTAATTTTATGGCTTGCCAAATGTCGTAAAACACTTGAGAATCTTTATACGGGACGGAGGAAGTATTAGTTATTATTACCTCCCTCCACTAATATTTGGACATGAGGAGGTGGTTCGGTTATTAAGAAGAGTTAGATTATACTCCCTCCGTCCCGCAATTAAGTTACCGCTTTCCTTTTTGGGCAGTTCCTAAATTAAGTTCACACTTCCTTACTTTCCTTATTTGGAAAATTATCTACATCAAAACAGTGTTAAACAGTGCAAAACAGTGTCCAAACAGTGCAAAACAGTGTCCAAACAGTGTAAAACAGTGCCAAACAATGTCAAAACGATAAAATTTACCCTCTAGTAATTTATTTCCTTAATATGTGTGAAATGCATCTCATAACTTAATTGGGGGATGTGAGTATCTACGTTGAATAAACTGTTACTACATATGACTCCGTATGAATTATGTGTAATTTAAATGAACTTAATATTACGAATTAAAATATCAGTAATATGTGTAACTAATATTTGGTACATATTTATATACTAGTACATACGGAGTATTTAACTGCTACACATTAATTTTCTAGTACATATTTGGGTATGTAAGTACTCCACTAAATAGCTGTTTGTACTCTGAACATGTTTTATGTTTAATACTAGTACAAAAGCTAGCCACCTATAGTTAACTACTACAACAGCACTAAAATACTCCTTCTGTTTCTGAAACAAGTTCCATATTTGACTTCACACATATTAAGAAAATAAATTTGACTTTACTGTAGAGACACTGTTTGAAAACTGTTTGACACTGTTTGCACACTGTTTGGCACTGTTTGAACACTGTTTGACATTGATTGACACTGTTTTGATGTAGATAATTTGCCAAATAAGGAAATGTTTGAAAGTGGAACTTAATTTTGAATCTGCCCGAAAAGGAAAGGTGAAACTTGTTTCAGAAACGGAGGGAGTAGTAAAATGTGCTATTGGTTTACTAACTTTACTTGAATCATTGCTTGAAAAATTACTTCATGCACTATCTTGTCATTTTAACAAGGTTTAACACTAATATAGAAGTCAGCCCAGCTAGAGCTAGGGATGCATTACTTGAACAATGGTAAGCATTCCTAAACTGCAGTAACCATATGATTACCATAACATCCGACATGTATGCATATGCACTTTCTGATGAATGGGTTGTTTGGAATTACCTTGTTCACAAATGATGTTCTGGCAATCAAACAATATGCAGGTGTCTAATCTTCAAGCGAGCTTGACTTGACGGACCTTGATGATAAAACAAGAAGATGATAGCATGCAGGCCAATGCCATCATCATCAGGACGATTCAATAATCGACAGTTTCCCCGTATGGCTTTTACAAAATCAACGTTGACCTTTTTGTTTATATGTTGCCTTTCGTGAGTTTTTTCCGGAAGGATGATACTTTTCAATCTTATTTCCCAAACCAAGGTAGTTTTTAACTTATTTCCCAAAGAAGGAGAGTTTTTGCCTTGTCATCCGGTCATACATGCCATGTCAGTATTTAATTTTTTTTTAGCATAAATCGGACATGTCACTGATTCCACGTCATTTAATTTGTTGGCCACATTTTAATTTAAGATTTCTGCTAGTTTAAAAAAAATAAGAGCCCACGGGATTTGAACCCAGGTGAGCTGACTAACACCCCAATTCTAAAGCCACTACACCATGCTAGTCCCTTGTTACTCTTTATTCTCTAAACTTATTTTACTCATATCAATTCAGTTCACATGAATGAAAAATGAAGAACGTAACGTAGAGTTAAACTATTGTATTTCTACTCCTGGATATCACAAATTCATAGCTGCATCACTTACTGGTGCATGTCATTTGTTCATCACAAAAAGTATATGTATAACAAATATTAGAAACACACTAACAACTTACCCATTTTCTTAAAAAAACATTAAATAAGACTTTCAACATATCATAATAATAACCAATACATTCATCATCCAAAAAAAGAGTACCAAAGATTACAAATAAACAAAAAAAAGAGTTCACTAATATTAAAAATATAAGCATCTGTATGTGACAAAGGACCACAAGTACGGATGTCAGGAAGCTGATGTCGAGTTCAAGTTTGCCACCATCTACACATAAAAAAAAATAGTGTTAGCATATCACATACATATATCAGATACATCTACATATTTAGGGTATAAAAATGCAGCAAGTTATAAGAAAAACATCACTCTACTAACTAATAAATATATCATCCTTTCTATAATATTACTAAAAGATGTGAGTTGTTTATAATACTCTATTCCACTCAGTATATTTCAATTAGTAATGACCTAATAAAGGACAACAAATTGTATTAATGAAACATTGAAGTGAATGCAAAATATAAAATAAAAACATAAGAATTACCTAGTATAGATGTGAATGTCAATCCACTCGTTTTTTCTTGTTTTTACATGTCCGTCTATCATGACCCGACTCTTTGCAAAGGCCGCACCGTGTTTTAGTTTTACCTTCTTTGATATCCATCTCGTTTCTAATTCGTGTGGACTGTGGTCGTCCTTTCTTTGAACGCCTACGAGTAAGATCCGGCAACAATTGAGGGATATTTTCTTCTGGCCAATAGTCCTCATGAGGGATTGGGCTAAACTGAGAGGCCCAAGTTTGAGAGTAGTTGTGAATGGTGTAGTATTTTTCAGTGTACTGCCAAATATCAAGTGCTAGCTGTCCACATACCGCCATTACATGTGAGCATGGAAATTTATAAATTTGCCACTTTCCACAACTGCATGTTTTTTGAGCAAGATGGACTACTTGTTTATTGTGCCCTTTTTGCATCCCCTCTCCATAAGGGGCGGTTACTACTTCACAAACTCCTTGCGCTCTATCAAACTGAACAATATCATGTGTGTTTGCCTTCACCCGATATCCTTCAAGTGTTGCAAGAACATGTGGCGTATACATGTATCTTTTAGCCAATGCTTCTTCAACAAAATTCCGTCTCACAGAAAAAAATTTAACTAACCGGTAGAAGGTTAATTGCACACATGCTGTGATAGGCAAGTTTCGAGCACCTTTCAGCACACTGTTGAACACCTCAGATAAGTTGGTGGTCATTATTCCATAACGCCAGCCTCCATCATGAGCCAATGACCATTGTGGTAGAGGAATCTTGTCCAACCATTTACGAGCATCAGGGTTGATTGTGTCAATCTCTTCCATTATGGCATCAAACTTCCGCACTTGATGTGCACTTCCTGCTCTATACACAAGCACTTTCAACTGTTTATTGTGAAACTTGTCATTGAAATTACTGCATATATGTCGTAAGCAATATCGATGATAACCCCAAGGTTCTCGCCACATGGAATAAGGATCATTTACCGCAGAAGTAATTCCCTTATGACGATCAGAAATCAAACAAACTCCTTTCTGTTGAGTTACTTTCTCTCTAAGACAACTAAGAAACCATCTCCAACTATCAAAAGATTCTTCCTCAACGATAGCAAATGAGAGAGGAAATAGTTGATTATTTCCGTCAACACCCATAGCTATCAACATTTTCCCTTTGTATCTCCCATACAAATGAGTTCCATCAATACTAATGACTGGTCTACAATATTTGAATCCTTCAACAGATTGTGGAAAAGCCCAAAACATACGTTGAAAAATCCCCATATTTTGATCTTGTAACTTTTCAAATTGCCATACGACAATCATGTCGTTGCATTTTTCAAGCGTGGAAATAAACTTAGGTAAAACTTTATAAGATTTATCCCAGTCACCAAACACATTATGTATTGCCTTTTGTTTCGCATGCCACATCTTCTTATAAGAGACATCATAAGAGAACTTATCTTTTGAAGCCTCTATTAAGGCTGCCGCTGTAATGGAAGGCTCCACTTTAACTTGACTTTCAATTTCTCGTGCCAACAAATTTGAATCTAACATTGGGTGATCCCGACTCAAACTTTGGTACACACATCGGTGCGGACCATCATATTTAGTTATTTCAAAAAGCTGATGGGACTTACGCTTACATGCTCGAAGCCTCCAACCGCAATCACCTTCCTTGTGTTTCACACACTTCAATGCCCACACATTTGTTTTCGTTTCAACTACTTCATACATGCGGTGCCTCTTAATAGAGTAAAGCTGAACAGCCCTTTTCAGATCAGCCTTATTCTTAAAAATTAACCCTTTCTTTAACTCAGCACTTGGAGTCCACTCAACGGTTGGCTGTGATAATGACCAGTTACTAGTCACATCATCATTAACAGCATCAATACTGTTGAAGAAAGGAATATCATCTCCATGTTTTTCCTCTCCAGATGTCACGTCATCCTTTTCATTTTCATTATTCACTTCCTCATCACCCTCATTGTTTTCCTCATAATCTTCCTCTTGTTCAATACATTGTTCTAGGTCAACAGTCTCATTATCAACATTCATGTCAAGAAACATAGCTTCACTTTCAGAATAAATCATTTGTTGCACTGCATTCATGTTCATGCTTACAAAAGCTGAATTATGTTAACAAAGAAAATATTATATTACGTACAAAAATAAGAGTGATCAATTTCAAATAGTTGAATAAAATAAGAGTGATCAATTTCAAATAAGAGTGAACAAAAATAAAGTATTTTAATATGAGCAAAGTCTTATTCGTATTATCAATGCAACTAACACGGACTACAAAATTTAATTTTATGTATTTTGTATTATCGCATCAGTTTACGAGGCTCCTAAAAATGAAAAATTAATTGAATAAGTCATAAACTTTTCACTTTAATTGTATATGCCTAAACTATTTTCAACGTAATTTCTATGAAAATTGAACGTGAGGACCTGTAAAACTAATTTTGAAACCCAGAATTTTGCAAAACGATTAGAAGAGTAGTGATACGCTATTAATTAACAAATTTTTATTGAATAATCATTTACATACCTGAATCGGAATAGGAGAATTAGAGGAAAACGAAGATGTGATGAATTTGGAGAAGCCTACAATATCCGTAGAAGAAGAAGACGAGTCAACTTCTGTGCAGCAGCCTACGTAAACCCTAAGTCTAAGGAATAATAAACTCTTTGTTGTAATTTGTAGAAAAATAATTACGTAAGTGTGTGGTGTAAATCTGCATGATTCAAATAAACTTAGAGACGAAGATTTCACAAGAAATTGTATTGGCGTAGTGGCATTAGAGTTTGAGTGTTGATCAGCTCACCAGGGTTCGAATCCCGTTGGGCTCTTATTTTTTTAAACCCACCAAATTAAATGACGTGACATTAGTGACGTGTCCGATTTATGCTAAAAAAATTAAATACTGACCTGGCATGTATCACCGGATGACAAGGCAAAAACTCCCCTTGTTTGGGAAATAAGTTAAAAACTACCTTAGTTTAGGAAATAAGATTGAAAAGTACCCTCCTTTGGGAAAAAACTCTGCCTTTCGTTGTAAATCTTTTGTTTACCAACATCAGCTTCATTGCAATACATTCCACTTGGATGGACAATTTAGCATTAAAAACTGAAATGTTAGGTAATAGCTTTTACATTTTGTCTAAAGCTCAAAACATAGACGACCTGGAAAGATCTGGAGCTTCATAAAACAATACCTGAATATAGTTTTACTACAAAACTAATACTATAATCATAGTAGTCAATGGCGCGCGCCATATGCGCCACCGCCATGAAAAATTGATTGTCGGCACAGTGCCATATGCGCGATATACACCATTCGTATATGCGTCATCGCCAAGCGCCATGAAAAATGCCTTTCAGCCATGACGATTGCCATGCGCCATGACAACTATGCCTATAATCGGTTTTTGAGTTGCATTTTTAGAACAAGCATTCAAATTGGATTTTCTTTGTAAACCTCTTTAAAATAAGCTAACCAACATGTTTTCTAAACAGAAGAGATTCAATTTCAATTGTTTGGTTCACCGGGTGATTTTACCTCCAAAACAAATTACTTTCTTTAAACAGACGAGTCCTTCCAAAAGCATGCTGACTTTACCTCATTTTAGCTTCCTATTTGTTAACCTTTTAATATTACTTCTTTACCCTTTAAAAGCTCGTATATTCATAAGCAACCGACCCATTAATAGTACTTCTTTACCCTTAAAAAGCTCGTATATTCATAAGCAACCGACCCATTAATAGTATGACAGTATTAAGGGACAACATACATTGGAGTGTGAATGGATTGTGGTTGACCTGGAAAATGGGTTTGCAAAAACAGAAGTGTTGATTTGAACACAAGAGTCGTGTTTTCTTGAGCAGGAGAATGTTGCGCTCCATAAGTCTCTCCTGTTCGCAACGTTCTTGTTTGGCACCGCATCATTGTGTGAGTGACCTGCCTATTTTCCAGAGTTTGATTTTATTTTATTTTCATGTCTTTTTAGTCAATCTTCAGTTTTTGCCTGGCTCACTGGCCTGGTCTTGTTCTTCATATTTCTCTGCAGTTACCAGCAATAGCACTCTCCTGTTTCTCAATCATCAGTCCCCTATCAACTTGGCAATTACTCTTAAACAAAGTGTTAGGCGTTCATCAAATGCATAGATAAGTAGCTTGCTTTCAAAGGGTAGTTGTTCCCTTTCTCTGTGTTCTGTTGAGCCTATGAATTCTTCAGTTTGCCAAGGAAACTTTTATTGTTTTGATGTTCTGTTAGGACTAAATAAATCTTACTTTGAGAATAAAACTTAAAATCAACTAGTCATATTTTTAGACTTCATCCATATTTTGCTCACATTTGTAGCAATTTCTTTTGTTGTAAACAAACTAAAAAGTGTTATGTTAGTAAGAAGAATATATGCTTGCAAAATAACAATTCACATAATTTGAGAAGAAAATAAGATAACACAGTAGGATAGAGGATGACCAAATTAGAAGTTTGAGATTAATGACTTTATTATGCTGCTACAGCAAGATCACAATAGGGGAAAGAAAGAACCCAGAAAGTACAGATGTTCTTGCCAAGCTACAAATGTTTTATTGATTATACAACAAGAACAATGTGAAACAAAAAGGAAGCATTTTAGCGGTACTGACTTGCCAGCTCTCCATCTTTGACAATGTAATTCTGGGCAGGGAATTCTTCACCCTTGAAGTACCTCTCCAGCATGTCCTTAGTTCCAGCAGCATACCTCAGCTATAACAGCAGTTCAAGTGAACAGTTTCAAATACCATACTCATTATGTATTTAGACAACATGTCAAAAAGGTTTCATACCTGTGCATCAATGGTCGTCCCGGAAATATGAGGTGTCATGGCTTGGTTTGGCATGTATCGCCATGGGTGGTCCTTGGGAGCTGGTTGTGGGTACCAAACATCCCCACTGTAGCCTAAGTGTTGAAAAGGAAAGCTGTTCATTTGTAGCTATGCACTTTAAACTTCTATTGCTAAAATGCATACAGATATTAGGTCATGTCTGGCATGGAAGTTGGAACACACTGCATTTGAGTTAGTCAATGACATTCTTTGTTTGATTTATGATATAGAAGCAACATCAATTATTTTTCCACTCCCAATATTGAGCCTCTTTTTTTTATCTATTGGTAAGTACCAGGGGTAAAACCCTAGATCAAGACTATTTCTTGTTAAATGTCTTCTTTCTTCTCAGTTTAATTTAGTAGGTCAAGAAGACAAAGATAATCTCGACCTCAACCATGAAGGACGGAATCATGAATCCTATTGTGGAGAGAAAAGGCTCCACAGTTCATGTCTTGAACAAATGAAAATCAAAATCGTCTATTCCATGTATGCCAAAATTGTAGACCAAGGTTTATATGGTTCTACGTCTTAACTTTGTTTCAGTTGTAAGATTATGAATTTGAGCAAATTATACTCTCCTTGTGCCAATTTAATTTCCATTTTAGAAAGCTGCAGGCATGTGAAGAAACACCATAAAATGCAATTTGTACCACTATAAAAGTTCAACGTTTCAAATGGTATGTTAATATCACAGATGTAAGGGAAAATTTAGTATATTAGTCCAATATATGCATCAAATCATGAAATGAAAAATTATTATAGGACAAAAACTATTGGCTGAAACGAAAAATAACTTCAGTTAATAGGGAGTATTAAATCTTGCAAATGTACATAGGTAGAGGGTATATATTTGTGGCTTTGTGGCTTAACCAAACATGTATATAATACTCCATATCATATCAGAATAGGTAGGCACATCTGTCCGACTGTCCCTTAAATTTAATGGTACGGATAAGGGTGTTTAAAATGTTGAATTGATTGTTAGACCTGCAATGTGTCCAGTGGAACAAGCATCAGCAACTGCTTGAGTGTCCATGATTGCACCCCGGGCATTGTTCACCACCAATACTCCCTTCTTCATCTTCCCAATCCTCTTCTTGTCAAACATCCCCCTGCATCAACATAAGTAGTAAAACAAAAGGCTTTGATGAACATTGCATGCATATACACATATCTAATGAGATGAAATAGGGACAGAAAAGGCATTTATCGAATTTTTACTTGGTTTTATCAGTTAGAGGGGTGTTTATGACAACAATGTCACATTTGGAGAGCATCTCATCAAGGTCTTCCTCAAAATTAGCACCAATCTCTTTCTCCAGTTCAGGATCCATCTTGAGACGATCATGATAGAGAAGATTACAGTTGAAAGGTTTCAACCTTTGGAGTAAAAGCCGTCCAATACGACCTGCACCGACGGTTCCAACCGTTTTCCCCTCCAAATCATAGGCTCTGTAAGCAATTTTGGAGACGTCCCATTCCCCATTAATGACCTGATGGTATCCGGGCAAGAAATTTCTAACGAGAATCAGGATACGCATCAGTTCATCCTCGGCTACGGAGACGACGTTACTTCCGGTAACTTCCGCCACCGTCAGTCCAGCAGCCGCCGCAGCGTTGAGATCTATGTGGTCCGAGCCAATACCAGCCGTGAGCAACAGCTGCAGATTCTTCGCCTTTTTAATCCTCTCAGCAGTGACGTAGGCGGGATGGAAGGGAGTGGTGATCAACACGTGTAAATCGGGAATATGCTTTTCCAGCTCTGTCAATCGGGTCAAAAAAGGATCCGATTACGAATTTTCTGCAGATAAGTGCCGTAAGAATCGCGACTATACCATTACCATATACTCTTACCGGAATCGGGTCCCTCTTTGTCCTGAGTGACGACGTAGTGGTGGCCTTGGGATTCCAACCAATGGCGGATGCCCAATGCATTTTCAACGCAACCGACGAAATTGGGATTCAGTGAAGCATACTCGTTTGCTTTGTAGAAAACTCCGACGATTTTTTTGCTCCCCGGAGAAGCCTGCGTGTTTTCCGGCAACAAAATCAATGTCGGAAAACATATCTACTTTTCTCTTAAGAAGAAGAAGATGGAATGACTTACATGAAGCTGTCTGGTTAGAAGAGAGGAGTTGCCGGGAAAAGCAAATGCCTGAAGCCCATATGCTGCAACACGCCTTACCGCCGCCATGTCTTTCTCCGTCTGGATCCGAACACAAAAGTAATACACCTAAGATAAGGCCACCACGTAAGATATCACAAATGCTTTTTCTAGGCATCGATGCTTGAGGTACACACCATTGTACACACCATATTTGTGAAGTTTTTTTTGTTTGTGAATCCGGTTCACAGATAATATTTTGTTTGTGCAAAACATTGTCTATGAATCGATGTTCACAGACAAAAAGAAAAGCTTTCACAGACATAGGTGTGTACAAAAGTGTGTATAAGAGTGTGTACAAACATCATTTTTGTTTTCTACGATGGTCTTCCCTAGAGTGGCACAGAAAGCCGAATCAAAAATTTGAAAAATTATGCTATTTATCTATCATTATGACCCTTATTATTTTTTCAAGTTTAACGAAAATAATATAGAAAAAACATTGTCAATGAATATTTAAAGAGGAAAGGTAAATAACCGAACTGATGAGTTCTAAATTAATTGATTAAAAAATAGCAAAGTTTTTGAAACAATAAAAAAGGTACTACCTTCATCCCAAAAAGATTGATACATTTTGATTTTTCTTGGTCAATGATGGTAAAGTTTAGACAATGATTTTTGGTATTATATTTGTTTGTAATTTATAAATTTTATACTTTTATGTAAGATTTTTTAATAAAGAATATGTTCATATAATTTTTCATATTTTAAATAATTTTGTATTAAAAGATATCACTGGTCAAAGTTAACCATCATTGACCAAGAAAAGTCAAAATGTATCTTTTGGGATCGAGGGAGTAAGATTTTATGAAAATGAAGGAATAATGTTTTGGAAAAACAATGAGATAGGTCTTATTATTATCTCAAAAAAGTTATTTAGGTATCCGTACTTTAAAATCAATCAATTGAACCTCCAAACTCATAAAAACGCTCAATTGAATGGGTTTACGAGTAAAGTACACGGCTTTAACTAGTTTTTGGGTTCTTCTGTCTTTCTTCTTTCTTAAACTAATTTTTTTCTTCTTCAACTAATTTTTTTTTTCATTTTTCTTCTTCTACTCCCACCCATTTTGGGTTTTTCTAAGTTATAATTACAACTTAGTTGATAGATTATTAGGCCTGCACTTAGGGGTGAACAAGGTTTCATTGGCGTGATCGGTTCAAATCAGCAGGGTCGTCTAATGAATTTGGAGGCCCGGTTCCAAATGGAAAATTGAGACCCCTAAAACAACAAAATTACAAATTTGAATAATGAAATACATGTAGACTAGACAGTTTAATGAAATATAAATTTTATGATTTTTAAAGTGCACAAATTAGAGAATCTAAAAATTGTATACATTTTGGAATCTTGAATATACATAACATCTATAAAAATAAACTTATAACTAATATTACATTCTAAATTTTTGGAGACCTCATACATGAGTGGACCCCGGTGTCAAGCATCTATTGCACATCCTAAAAGACGGTCATGAAAATAAGGACCACCAAACCATATTGGGACCTTGATGGACGGCTCCACTCTCCAGATAGGGAGCGCCCCGGACTCATGGGCTATTGGTATTGGTCCGGGTTGCATAATATGAAGTATGAGACCAGGCTTTCCAACTCGAGTTCTATCACTAGTGATACTTTAATTTTTTATTTCTCTTTCCTTACTAGCTAAGACAATCAAGCAGTTGGGGAACATTGGAGCCTGTTCCAATGGCTCTTAGGGCCGGGGTGAGGTATGTGTTTAATAAAAAGTCCTATAAATATATCTTTTTCACCTTTTTGTACACCTTTCGTTATACCCTTTCTATTATAATCTCATCTTCAACTTACTTAATACGGAGTATCATTTATATCACATATATTGATCTTATCCATATACACACACATAACATACTTATAATATTGTACAACATTATAACTTGTACTAATATTATTCTATTAGTTATATTTCTATTGTTTAACACACACTTATTATCATTAGAATGTCAAATTCAAGAAAGCAATATACATGGTATTTCATGTAACTGTAAGAAGAAGGTTCTAAATTCGCATCCATGTAATTGTGGAAAATGTTTTGTTGTGTCAAAATCATGACGAGCCCGTGACCGAATGAGAGTTGGGTCTTGGGAATTTAATCCCCAAGACACAATGATCGACGAGGATATGCTATTCAAGCAACACTACGGTCGTTTTTTATCTATCGCAAGCCAGCATTCCAGATTTAATTCAAATAATATGATTCAAAAGTATAGAAAAGACTTTTCGCATCGATTTAAAACAGGCTTTTAATTGGTTATACATAGAGATGGCAATTGTGACCGATCTGGTGAATATCTGCACCGAACTGCCTCGGTCAAACCGGGGAAAACCGCATTGACCGGGTAACGGGTATGGGGTGGGGAATACCCGTTTTGTTTTTACGAGTAACGGGGCGGTTACGGTTTTATACATGTCCGCCCCATTACACGCCCCGTACCACCCCGTTTATTTTTAGTTATATTTTTATTACATTCTCGTCTATTAGTTGTCCCACAACTAAAAGATGAGAATTTTCTATTTTCATTGTGTATATATCAATGACAAATGTACTAACTCTAGTGTACGAATGAAAGTTCATAATAGATCTTAATAGTCTTGTTTGATTATTATCAGTTTCTTTTGAGATTAATTATTTTTCAGATTAAGTATTTTTAGATTCAAACTCACTTAGGTTGTCTTCTTTCTCGTATTGTAGATATGTGAAACATTAAAGTGGCATTTGAGTCTAGAGTCGTCTAGGTGATGCCATTTTTTGCCTTTTAAAACATTATTTTTATATTAAAATTAAATACCAATGACATATTTAATAAAGTGATTACCTGCGGTTACCCGCGGTTATACCCGTTACCCGTTGGGGCGGTTATGATTTGGGTAAAAATTACCCGTTGGGTAATGGGGCGGTTATGGGCGGGGGAATTACCAAACGGGGCGGGTACGATTATATGTAAAACCGTCCTCGATCTGCCCCGTTGCCATCCCTAGTTGTACAACCGATGTAGAACTAAGAGGTGAGAAAAGTATAGCATCTTTTCTATGAGCAATGTAGAACTAGGCGATGTGAAAAGAATGATTCGTCTTTTCTATAAACGATGTAAAATGTTTTCACATTGATTGTCATACAAGTATATAATTGATGTAAAAAAGTCGCCAAAAAATCACTTTGCATCATATGCCACATCGGTTTTGACTATGAGTCGTGGAACATTTGTTGTTTACAATTTTTTAAAAAATAAAAGGAAAAGGGAGCAAATAAGCCACGTACTAACCAAAAAAAGTCAAATAAAGCCTTATATAGGAGGCTATGTCAGACCGTCGTCATTTGAGGCAGTCACCGGTGAAAATTTTTTATTCAATTTTTTGAGCATATTATTCATTAAGTCTAGTTTACTCATACCAAATTTCAGCTAAAACTTCAATCGGGAAAATATTCAAATGAATTCTTGAAGATAACAGCGCAATTAAAAGCGCAGTTATCTTCAATAATTTATTTGAATGTCTTCCCAATTTAGTTTTAGCTGAAATTTGGTATGAGTAAACTAGACTTAATGAATAAGACTCTCAAAAAAAATCATCAAAAAAATCCACCGGGAACTGCCTCAAATAGCGACGGCCGGACAGAACCTCCTATATAAGAGTTTATTTGATTTTTTTTTTGACAGTACATGTGCTTATTTGCCCCTCTTTCCAAAATAAAAATACAAACCCGGATTGGTCACGTGAATCACCGGTGTCGATCTTGGTTTGACTTACCCCACCCTCAAGATAGATAGGTCCTGGATCACAACCAGCCTCAAACCGGGATCCTTACAATTTTATCCAATTGAATGTCTAGGAGGGACTTCACTTGATACTTATAGAAACACAAAATAACCTATTTGTAAGGAATTGAAGGGGCGGCTTGCTTCTCATAGCCTACCAACGAGTGAGACACCTACCAAATAGTCTCTATTCATAGATATCGAAGGGGCGGCTTGCTTCTTTCTTACCTCATAAGTAAATACGTATTACCTCCTTAACATTTATATTTTCCCGTTTAAAAGTTGTTGTGATTAAGAATAGTGAAAAGGGATATCAATTATTGATGGTATGGTGGGAAGATAATGAAATAGTGTGTTGGAATGAATAATAAAACCCAAAAAGTAGTTGTAATAGCGTATTATTTTCAAAATTATTGAGGGTATGATGGGAAAGTTTAGAAATGAGAAAATATGAATGTTAGGGTCGAAAATGGAAAGTGGGAAGATATGAATGTTAGGAAAAGGAGTACAGTTTTAATAGTTGGTGTACATGAACTTGTTGCCCACCTACCCTAATACTATTGCTAAGGGCAACTTGATAAATCTTGCTTCCATTATTGCAAAGGACAAACTACATCATTGGATTACATTAAACCGATTACATTCACATGCATAATGCATTTGGCCGGAAAATAGATAGTCTAAGGAGTTTGAACAAGTTGGTCATCCTTGTGTAATGGAGATAATTGTAGTCTTCATAATAAAGATAATCATATGTACATGTATATTCAACTTGGTTTAACCGAGTCACAACATATAAATTATGTACTCCCTCCGGTTCTGAAAGATCTTTACAGTTTCCATTTTTAGCAGTATCATAAAGATCTTTACACTTTCTTATTTGCCTTATTTGGCAAATAAATCTACACAAAACAGTGCCACACAATGCAAAACAGTGTCAAACAGTGCCAAACAGTGTTTATTTTCTTAAAAACTGTGAAGTCAAAGTGTCAAGATCTTTTGGAACCGGAGGGAGTAGTTTATTATCCCTTCTTTAGAATGATGCGTAAAGAATGTTGTAGTGTAAACTTTTGGTTATTACTCCGTGTTATGTTTTTGCTTTGATCTATCTTAAATTCTTAATACTGCCTCGATCCTATTTTCTGTATTTTGTTTTGTTTTGAAAAATTATTACCAATAACGTGATTACAAAGTAAAATTTGTGATTGAAATTTTAGTATGTAGTATAATAATAAAGAAAAGTGTTGTAGAAGTGTAGAACACATGTTTCTTTCTAAAAAAAGAAAATATAGTACTAACTTCTTCTCAATTAATTTTGTCAAGTTGATGTGAATTTAGAATAGTAAAAATGTGTGGTTGAAATTTTTGTAGATGAAAGAGAAATGATCACAGTCACAAATTTATTGGTTTAAAGAGAAAGTAATAAAGTTTTTTGGCAAATTTCATTAGACCGAGGGTACCTATTTTGCAATATCCAAAAAAGAAAAGTAAAATACGTAAATTAAATAGAAAAGTAAAATACGTAAAGTACTTGGTATACTAATACGTAGTATGATTTTAACTAGGGATGGACTCAGACCGGGTGAACCAAACCGGCACTGTTCCGGCCCGGACTAGTCCGTTTCACGGTTCATTGACTGGTTCGGGCCAACCGGCCCAGCACTGTAGAGGGGTGGTTCACGAGCCTCCCAAATCACGACCCATCCCACCCAGTTCGGACCCAATTCGGTTCAATTTTTTTGTGTTTCACATTTTTTAAAAGGTAAATCGGTTGAGTTGAGTGTTTTGAAGGAGTTTAGAGTGTGGGTGGGGCCTGGGGGGAGTAGGAAGTAATTAGAAATAAAAAAAAATATAGGCTACGCAGCCCGAACCAGCCCGGCCCATTAACCGCCGGGTGAACCAGCCCATTAACCGCCGGGTGAACCAACCCAGCCTGGAACCTGAGCTACCCGGTCCGGTTTTCGGGCCTCACTTCTCCAAAAACAAAGCCCGGTCAGAACCGGACCGAGGCCCGAACCGAGGCCATCCCTAATTTTAACATTGTTAAGTATAAAAGTTTTTCTAAGTATGTTACAGAATTCTTGATCAAAATATTAACAACGATATAAAAAGAATCTTATACTCCTTAATACTCGTCTCAAGGAGTTACATTTTTATTTAGATGAAATTTATTTCTTGTAATGATCTTAACATTTTAAAATCATTTCTCTCTGTTATTTCCCCAAAACATATTCGTTAATAGTTCTTCCACAATATCACAAGAATTGCAAACACTGGAAGTCTGGAACAAGCTACAAGCTAAACAGCGCCCCATTTGATTATCATTCAATATATGCTTAGACAGACTCTATGGAAGAGAGCTGTTTCATACAGAGTAAATCATAACATGGTATACAATGGCAGATAGGCAGATAGGTTATCACAAATGATAAGGGATCAAACACCAGATTACAGGTTTGCCCTTGCAAGCAGGTTGATTTAGATTAGCCGGGTCCAACTTTGGGAATATCATAATGCTCACTCATATTAGCCAAATACTGGTTAAAATCTTCAATTCGGTCTCGGTGTGATTTGTTAGCAGTCTTGGCCATCTTTTTCTTATCGATTCTCTCTCTTTGTTCCATGTAGCGTCTCTCTGCTGGGGTGAGATAGTCTCGAGCAGCATCTCCTTCCCCGTTGGTTTTGTTGGCCTCTTTATTCATCTCTTCCTGGTTTCGGTCAACAACTATTAATTCGTCACTTTCACCTACAAAATTAAAATTAGCTACTCTATGACTGAATCTTAATAGACACACATATATTTTAGCAATATTCCTTATCATTAACATACTATATTCCTATATATGAACTAAAAGATGTTCTTATTTGTTCTCATATCAAAATCAAATCTGGCAAACCCAGAAACGTTTGAACCATACCAGACCATAATTATTCAGATGAGACCGAATGTTGTCTTTTATATAAGATATCTGAACAAGAACATTAACACTTGAATCAATCCAGACCACAAAGATTTGGACCAGACTACATATTCAAACCAGGCCTAAGGAACCATGGAAACTCTACACAGCTAACGTTTTGTCATTTCAGAAACTTGGACATGTATGAGAAACCTGAAAACTTCATGCTCCATGTCTATCTCATACAGAGTACTCCCTCCGTCCCCTTTTAAATGTCCCGGAAGAGGGTGGCACGAGTTTTAAGAAAAGTAGGTTTGTGTGGTTGATATTAATAGATAAAGTAAGAATAAAGTAAGAATAAAGTAAGAATGATTTTGAGCCACACAAACTTTACCAAATAAGGTATGGGACAATTAAATAGGGACATCCCAATATGGTAAAATGGGACATTTAAAAGGGGACGGAGGGAGTATGTTTTTACATTTACGTGTTTCCCAATTTACATTTTGCGTTCCTGAGAGCTACATAGGATGACATCAAACAAGAAAGATTTGGACCAGGCTAGATCTGAAATAAAATCTGATCAGATAACACTTTGTTAGGTGAACAACACAAGTCTGACCTATAGAATCATCAAATGTTTTTAAGTAAATAGCAAACAGTTGAAAGAAATTTGTTTCTTTAAGAGATGCCTGCAGATAAGTAGTCCATACACTTATCAATCCAATAGGAACGCACAACTTAAAAAAAAAACAAAAAGGAAAACTCAAATTTCTAGGAAAGGTAATGGAACCTGCAGAGAGTTTAGATTCCATGACTTGAGAAATCTGATCAGAGCTCTTCTTATGTTTCTTCTTTTTCATTGACCCAGTCTTAACATCCAAGGCCTTACCCTTAAGTTTCAGCTTGCCTACAACAGCATTGTCGTATGCAGACATTTCTCTGAAAGTTCAAACAAATTGGATCATGCAGTTTCCCCAAATCTGTAGGATATCACTATCACTATACATATAAAAGCTAGACCGACCCGCACGGGTAGCTCAGTTGGTCGAGTGGTGGGAGATTTGGAACAATGGACCAAGGTTCGAATCACCGCAGTGACCAGGTGGAGGTCACAGGATCTGAAATAAGGCTGGGCCTCTGGTGCGCACGGGTGTATAGGCCTACTGTCATTCTGCCGACTGAGTCACCGTGACTAACCTCCCCACCATCCTGTCGGGTCGGGCTCCTGGGGTGGGAGATTTCACCTTTGGAACAATAAAAGCTAGACCGCCTGGGATAACTGTTCCCGCCTGACAATGATGACGTCACTATGACATCATCATGGTGTCATCACGGGGTGGTGTGACACGTGCTCACAGTGAATCTGCGTAGTTTTGGCTCTCCTCCATACTAAGGCAACATATTGGTTAGCCATTATATTACAGCTTATTACAACTCCTTAATTTAGAAAATTGTTCATCGTTTAACTGAAATAATAGACAAAGAACGAAACTCAATAACAGCCTCTAAGCTTGATCTATGCACTGCTCATATGGTATAAAAAGATATGTACGAACAAACAAAACAAAATGCGATAAAATAAGAAGACGGTTAGTGATGATCGACTAACCTCGGATATTAGACGAACGGCGTGGTGTAGGATGCGTCCGAGCTAAGGGGAAGAGGAGCTGGAAACGGAGAGAGCCTACGACCGTCTGGCTGAGAGTTGAGCCGCAGAGAGAGATGTAGATCCGATGAATTGGTACACTGAAGAGATAGGTTAGGTTATTCCGTATTTCGGTTTTTGGGAATGTGATTACTTTTAATTGGATAGGGTCAAGCAGGGGCGGTTGTTTGGGAAATTAGTAAGGATGGAATCATTCCCTTATTCCAAATGGTGGAATGTCCCCCAGGAGTCCCCCACCCTGATCCGACAGGATGGTGTGAAGGTTAGTCACGGTGACTCAGTCAGCAGAATGGTAGTAGGCCCATACATCCGTGCGCACCAGAGGCCCAGCCTTATTTCAGGTTATGTGACCTCCACTCGGTCGCTGCGGAGATTCGAACCTTGGTCCATTGTTCCAAATCTCCCACCACTCGACCAACTGGTATGGAATTATTCCCTACCATGTCGTTTCGGAATGTTACAAAATGGTACTCCCTCCGTCCCGAAATAATTGTCCTACTTTGACCTTCACACAGATTAAGAAAATGAAGTTGACTTCACACTGTAGCGACACAAATAAGAATGTTCAAATATGTTGCTGCATATTCTGTTTAGTAATCATATTGGAACTATAATATTGATTTATGATACTCAGGAGTGTTGCTATTTTGTTTTAATATAGTAATGTAATCCAAATGCTACATGTGATTCATAGTGCTCCAGAATGTTACTAATTCACTATAATTCAATAAAACCTTGACTAGTAATCTGGAATTGAGATGCAATTTAATTGATTAAAGATAGCCACAACATCTTTGATTAATTAAATTGTATATTAAGTTTCTGAATCACATTAAGGCATCACTTGTGATTAATTATATGAAATATATTGAAATCTGCCCACAAGAGTTTCATTGTATTAGTATAATTAATTAGGATGAAATATTAGATTATTTTTCTCAAACTACCCACAGGAATTGAGAATGGAATATAATTTAATAGTTTTATCAAATTGTTTGCTTTATGTGTCTAATTGAGTAAAACTTTAGCCCACAGGTAAGTTTTATGTCACTAGACTTATTGATAATCATGTTTTGCATTGGTAGAGCATGAACTTCATTTTACCTCAAATATTAATAATGAGCATGTATATATTATATTTTACAGTTGTTCAACCTGCGAATGTTTTTGATATGAAAGGTGACATTCCCGAATTAAGGGGCGATAACTGTAAGGTTTGGAAGGAGCGTGTTCTCCTTCATTTGGGTTGGATGGACATTGACTATGCTATAAGGAAAGACGAACCACCGGCTATAACGGCAACCAGCACTCCGGATGCAGTTCATCTTTATGAAAAGTGGGAGAGATCTAACCATCTCTCCGTAATGTTCATAAAGACCAAAATAACTGATGGTATCTGTGGTTCTGTCAATCAGCATACTAAAGTCAAGGACCGTTTGAAGGCTATTGATGAGCAATTTGCTACATCTGATAAGGCCCTTGCCAGCACCTTAATCATGCAGTTCGCAACCATGAAGCTCACTGTGATAAGAGGCGTGCGTGAACACATCATGCGCATGAGGGACATAACGGCTCAGTTGAAAGCTTTGGAGGTAACCATGTCAGATGCTTTTCTGGTTCACTACATCCTTTACACTCTTCCACACCAATATGCTCCTTTTAAGATCTCCTACCACACACATAAGGAAAAATGGTCAATTAATGAGCTACTGACTATGTGTGTTCAGGAGGAGGAGAGGTTGATGATGGAATAGGGTGAACGGGTGAACTTGACTGTTCATGAAAAGAAAAGGAAGGATCATGCCAAAGGTAAAGGCAGCATCCCTCCACAAGCAGTCATTAAGAAAGAGTCAAAGTTTTTCTTTTGCCAGAAAAAGGGACACATGAAGAAAGAATCTTCTAAATTCAAGGGCTGGCTCGAAAAGAAAGGTACTCTATTAGCTTTTGCGTGTTATGAATCTAATATGGTTAATATTAATCACAACACATGGTGGATTGATTCGGGTTCTACAATCCATGTTTCTAATACCTTGCACGGTATGGAAAACCTAAGGAAACCAGTGGCAAGTGAACAATGCATCTATTCAGGAGGAAGAATAAGTTCACATGTTGAAGCCATTGGGACATGCAATTTAGTTTTAAGCAGCGGTTTTATTTTACAATTGGAAAAGACCTTTTATGTTCCTAGTTTTCAAAGAATTTAATTTCTGTTTCGAGACTAGCTCCTTTAGGATTTAGTTTGAATTTCTCAAGTTCTGGTTTTACTTTAATAAATAAATAAAAACCATTGGTTTTGGTTCTTTAGTTGATGATCTTAATTCAATTGATGTGAAAAATGATGTTGCTTATGATTCAATGCATGTAACAACTGGTTCCAAATGGTGTGTTGTGAATGAGAAGTCCTCTATGTTGTGGCATCGAAGACTAGGGCATATCTCCATTAAGAGGATTAAGCGTTTAGTGGATGAAGGAGTACTTAGTACTCTAGACTTTGCTGATTTTGATACTTGTGTGGGTTGTATTAAGGGTAAATAAACCAACAAGTACAAGAAAGATGCCAAGAGGAGTTCTAATCTATTAGAAATCATACATACAGATATTTGTTGTCCAGATATGGATGCAAATAGTCCGAGATACTTTATCACCTTCATAGACGATTATTCACGATACATGTATCTTTACTTACTGCGCTCTAAAGACTAGGCGTTAGATGTCTTTCAAATTTTTAAGGCTGAAGTAGAGAAGCAATGTAATAAACAAATTAAGATCGTGAGGTCGGATAGGGGTGGAGAGTACTATGGTAGATATACAGAGAATGGACAAGCACTTGGGCCATTTGCGAAGTTTCTTCAAGAAAATGGGATTGTTGCCCAATACACTATGTCTGGTTCTCCGGACCAGAATGGTGTAGCTGAAAGAAGGAACCGAACTTTAATGGACATGGTGAGAAGCATGAGGAGTAATATAAAACTTCCTCAATTTTTGTGGGTTGAAGCACTAAAAACAGCCGCCTATATATTAAACCGAGTTCCATCTAAGGTTGTCTCTAAGACTCCTTTTGAGTTATTTAAAGGATGGAGACCGAGTTTGAACCATATACGCATTTGGGGCTGCTCATGTGAAGTAAGAATCTATAACCCTCAAGAAAAGAAGCTAGACACTAGAACTCTTAGTGGTTATTTCATTGGATATGCAGAAAAATCCAAGGGGTATAGATTTTATTGTCCATCACATAGCACTAGAATTGTGGAGTCAAGAAATGCCAAGTTTCTTGAGAATGACTTAGTTAGTGGGAGTGAAGAATTTCAGAATATTTTTTCTAAAAGGGATCACATTGAGAATCAACCATGCGAACTAAGTAACAAATTGATTGTTGTACACGCTCCTCATGTACAGATGCGTGCTGGACAATCAATATATGAGAATCCACATGAAGCTAGAAATGACTTAATAGATCATACCATTGTTGAAGGCCAACAAAACAATGGTGAACAATCTGGTGAACAACAGGTTGAACAACCCGTTGTTGAACCAGATGATGAAGCAACATTAAGAAGATCTAATAGAGTCAAAAGACCAGCAATACCTAGTGATTATGTAGTGTATCTACAAGAATCAGACTGTGACGTAGGAGCTGAAAATGATCCTGAGACGTTTTCACAAGCCATGAGTTCTATGGAATCAAACTTATGGATTGATTCTATGGCATTCAATAAAGTATGGGAACTCGTTGAGTTGCCAAGTGGTGTAAAAGCCATCGGGTGTAAGTGGGTGTTTAAAACCAAGAAAGACTCACAAGGCAACATTGAGAGATATAAAGCGAGACTTGTAGCCAAGGAGTTAACTCAAAGAGAGGGAATTGATTATAAGGAGACCTTTTCTCATGTATCTAAAAAGGATTCTCTTAGGATCATCATGGCATTAGTGGCTCATTTTGACCTTGAGCTACATCAAATGGATGTGAAAACGGCTTTCCTCAATGGTGATCTAGAGGAAGAGGTTTATATGAAACAACCAGAAGGATTCTCCTCTAATGAAGGTGAGCACTTAGTTTGCAAGCTAAAAAATCCATATACGGTTTAAAACAGGCCTCCCGCCAGTGGTATTTTAAGTTCAATGAGGTTATTACTTCATTTGGTTTTAAGCAAAATATCATGGATCAATGTATATACCTCAAGACTAGTGGGAGCAATATCTGTTTTCTTGTGTTATACGTGGATGATATTTTGCTTGCAACTAATGATGTTGGTATGATGCATGAGGTGAAGAGTTTTCTCTCGAAAAATTTTGATATGAAGGATATGGGAGAGGCATCTTTTGTCATTGGCATAAAGATCCATATAGAAAGATCTAGAGGCATTTTAGGCTTGTCTCAAGAGTCCTATATCATACACAAAGTTTTAGAGAGATTTAACATGAAACAATGCCCCAAGAATGATTTTGAGTGGGAACAAATGAAAAATGTCCCATATGCTTCAGCTGTAGGAAGCCTTATGTATGCTCAAATCTGCACTAGACCTAACATTGCATATGCTGTTGGCATTTTGGGAAGATATCAGATTAATCCAGGGGTTGAGCATTGGAGAGCTGCAAAAAAAGTAATGAGATATCTCCAAGGAACAAAGGATTTCATGCTCATGTACAAACGAAGTGACAAGCTGGAAGTAGTTGGTTACTCCGATTTAGACTACGCTGGCTGCATTGATACCCGAAAATCAACTTCTGGTTATATATTTTTGCTAGCTGGTGGAGCTGTTTCTTGGAGAAGTGCAAAACAAACTTCAATAGCTACTTCTACTATGGAAGCTGAGTTTGTTTCTTGTTTTGAGGCTACATCGCATGGTGTGTGGTTGAAAAGTTTCATATCTAGGCTTAGAGTTATGGACTCAATTTCTAGGCCATTAAAGATATATTGTGATAACTCAACTGCTGTTTTCATGGCTAATAACAATAAGAGTGGAAGTCGAAGCAATCACATCGACACTAAATATTTATCCATAAGGGAACGTGTCAAAGACCAGAAGGTGGTCATTGAACACATTAGCACTGAGTTAATGATAGCTGATCCTTTAACTAAAGGCATGCCACCAAAGAAATTTCAGGATCTTGTAGTTCACATGGGACTTGGTACCATGATTTAATTTTCATAAGTTTATTTATTATAAAACTCTTATTCAGTTTGGTGTATTCTCAAACTTA